TTAAAAAAAAAATATTCCCCCAAACTCCTGGAAAAAACAGAAACTCTTGGTTCAGACTCGTGACTTGATGCCAATACACTTTGCATTATCAGCCCCCTCCAAGGGTCAAGAAATATGGACATTAAATTAACATCTTGGCAGAAATGTCCTTATGAGTAAGCAGTGATTCATTGAAGGAAAGGTACTAGTAATTGGTTGGGAATGCTAAAAACAGTAAACTTCGGGGTGGATAATGTCATTACATAGTTTAGTCTCTAGGTGGCACCAGGCTTAGATGATGGTGGCCTTGATAGGGAACCACTTTCCATTTGTACTTCTGTTCAAGTTGGGTTTCAGGACAAAGGGTTAAATCAAGGGAGAGGACTATGGCCCCACAGTATATTGTAGATGTAGATAGCGGAGATAGCCTGGCAAGATTCTGTCTATAGGTGTCAAACAATAAAGAACTTAAGCTTGGAAGAATCCCCATGTGTCATTCTTGGTTTGGGATTTGACCTCATCCATAGTTCACATTTCTTGGGCAACCAGCTGAGCCAATCACAGTCTTCCTCGGTGGGGTGAGTTATATTGGATGTTTATTTCAAGTACAATCGTGATTTCTAAACCAACATCATTTATGGGTTGTTCATGTCCTTTAAACCGAGGGTTGTCCTTAGCTATCTCTTCTAAGAGAAGCGACCTTCAAAAAGGGGATTTCCACAGCCCTGTCAACAAGGTTGAAACGCATCAAAAAAACCTGGGTTGTTTTTTTTGTTTTTTTTTTTGTAGAATGGTCAACCTCAATTTGAAAAAGTGGGCCAAGGAAGCCATTCACATGGATTGTGGTTTATTGACTTCCTGCCCAATTTTACGATTGCTAATTTTGTTCCTAGCCCTTATCAGAGAAGACCCATTTCTTTGGTTTTGGAATATTGAGCTGTTGTGTATACAAGAGCACAAACAACAGAAATATGAGTCAGCTTCAACTTTTGTCCATGGCTTGTAACAAACCAAGCCAGATTATTCCTAGCTAGCTTGCCAATGATCTTGGAAAGAACGATCCAGGAAATCACTCAGGGGTAGGCGAAAATATATATATCTATATCTATATATAAATATATACACAAATAATTATTATACATTATATAACAACACATTCAGTTTCTAGAGATATACATTTTATATAACATTATTCTCCATAGCTTATTGTGAAGCAGAGAGAGGATTAAGAAGCCAAACTAAAAAAAGAGTTATTTGTTAAGTCTGCATTGCATACCTACAATATTTTTTAAGTGGCTCTATGCAATAGTTTAAAAAATACATAGATACACAAACACACACACACATATATATATACCGGTATGTAGAATATTTTAGTCTCTGGGATCAGACTGTACAATTATGTAACATAATTTAAAAAGCAAGTACTTGACTTAAAGATTCTTTTCCTCTTTTACAAATATTTACGGTGCTCTACACTTAGAAATCCATGTTCAGAACCTCACCCATCCATTCACCCTCCTCAATTAGCAATAAGGATTTATTTAGAAAAAAAACAACTGCAAAACACACAAGCAACTTCTTGGAAGAAAAACACCTTCCAACAAGATTCCAAAGCAGCTCATTGGATCAAGAGAGATTGGCTGGAACCTGAATATAAAGGCATCTAGGAAGCAGTGGAGTGGGAAAGGGTTGATTCTGGGATCCATCTCTCTGCATTTCTAAATCGACTCCTGTTGAATTCCAGGCTCCTTCAGATGCTCAGGCTCACCAGCCTAGCCAACAGGTTGAAAAAGATAGCAGGTTGGGTTGTAGGAAAACAGCCGGCCGGTATGTCATGAGAGAGAGAAAGAGAAAAATAAATAAATAAAGTCTTCAGAGAGCCCAACTTCTGGTGATGAGAAGGACGCATCCAGGTTGTCTTCTTGGCAACATCTTGGAAGTGGTTAGTTGTTCCTTTTGGATAGGACTTGCTTTTTTTTCTCCTTTCAACTTTACCATGTTATCTACAGTTTGGGATCTTCAGTAGCTCCCCTCCATGAACCAATGAGGGATACCTTGGGCAAAGTGGACACAGATGTATTTTTGAGGTATCTGCCAGTTTGGGACACATCTCCCAAGGTTGGACACCCTTAAACCCACCATTTAAAGTTGGGAATTGGAGGGTGAAAACTTCCTCAGCTTCTCCAAGGGGAGAAGACGTTCTCCAATCTTTCTTAGAAGCATTGCTTGGCTTTTATGAGGGTGCCCACCACACGCCTTTTTTCTCCTTCCCCTCCCGCCACGGCGTTCTGTAAACCAGGATTTGTAACTTCACAGGTTGGGCGAACCTAGCCCACTGCGGTTGCTTTGGGCTCGCCAGAGGCTTAACCAGCAGTGGCCATTTAACCCTGGTTTAGGAAAGCACGGTTAGGCAAGCCATCCGCTTGATCCAACGGGGCAGCGCAACGTTGTGCACGCCAAGGTCGAAGTTGCCAGCTTTGTGTCCTGCCACCCCGAACTTCATTTTCATTCAACCTCGTTTGCAGCTCAGTTGTCCCAAATTTTGAAATTTGGGAGAGCGGGTTAGTCTTAAAGCCACAGAAGCCCGGCAGATCACATCTGCCATCTGATCAGCTGGCAACGTCAGTTGGCTCCTTTAAATCTCAGAAATAATGGCTGCTAATTTTAGACAGTTTCTTCAAACGCTCGCTTCTTTGCAAGCTGTCACCGAACACGTCGCGTCCTTCAGCTCCTAGCAGTTTGCCAGAGGGCAAATTCAGCCCTCGCGATATTTATTTATTATTTATTTATTTATTTATTTTAATGTTTGGCTTTTTACAGTTAACAGTTAAGGTGGTGTATACTCGGCAACGGATGGCTAGTGCAACATCTTTCACATTTATTGCTGATGTGATCGGCTGCCCGGCTTGGCCTAGGACTGCATCCAGATGGATGGACACGTGACTCTGATTAAGGCTGGGGATGAGGACAGGGCGGTACTGGGAAATAGCAGGGGTGAGGAAGAAGGCACAGACAGAGTGAGGTCTGGGTAAGGTCAGGAGGAAAGGCGGGAGATGTGTGGCTTTGGGGCGAAGATCGCACCACCCTTACAAAGGGCACGATTAAGCATGCTCTGGTTTAACAAAAGTCTGAGGGCTCCTTGGCGCTCTCTGAGGTTGCTTGTTTTCTTGCAGACATTTCATTATCCAGACTAGGTAACATCATCAGTGCTAGAAGGGAGTGGGTTTGTGGAGAGGAGGAGGAGGAGGAGGAGGAGGGGGGGGGAGATGAAGAAGACGAAGACGAAGACGAAGACGAAGACGAAGACGAAGAAGAAGAAGAAGAAGAAGAAGAAGAAGAAGAAGAAGAAGAAGAAGAAGAAGAAGAAGAAAGAAGAAGAAGAAGAAGAAGAAGAAGAAGAAGAAGAAGAAGAAGAAGAAGAAGAAGAAGAAGAAGAAGAAGAAGAAGAAGAAGAAGGGGAGGAGGAGGACTGAGGGATCCTTAGCGCTCTCTGAGCTTGCTTGTTATCTTGCAGACATTTCATTATCCAGACTAGGTAACATCATCAGTGCTAGAAGGGAGTGGGTTTGTGGAAAGGAGGAGGAGGAGGAGGAGGAGGAGGAGGAGGAGGAGGAGGAGGAGGACAACTGTGGGGTCCTTGGTACTCTCTGAGCCGGATTGTTTTCTTGCAGATCTTTCATTACCCAAACTAGGTAACATCGTCAGTGCTAGTCATGTTACCTACTTTGGGTCATGAAACGCCTGCAAGGAAATCACCAAGCTTACAGAGCACCAAGGACCCCTCATTTCAACCCTGAGATACAAATATTCTCGTTTATTGGTTAAAGAAAGACAATTGCTCCAAATAGTTGGAGGAAAATCAGCTGAGTTCATTTCACTTGGCCATCTGCTGTTTTTAAAATCAGAACATCCGTCTTTGAGGAAGGACGACGGGATGGGTGAGGGCCATCAGCAGCAGATAATATGATGGTTCTCAAGGCAGAATTTTCCCACCCACCCCCAGTTCCAGGGCTGCAATCTGTGGGCGTTATCTCCAGAAGCTCCAAGCACTTGAAGATGGAACTGAAATGGACTCTTAAAAAGCTAAGCAAGTTCAGATCTGGTTAGGACGTAGAGGAAAACCTTCCAAAACAAAGAGGGCCAAAGACTAGAAACCGTTTTCAAAACTTCCCAGAAGAAGGCCAGGCTAAGTCGCTTCTGTAGGATTGCCAAGAAGACTCCTATGGAAGCATACACATGTTCACCAGGCGTTGAATTTTGACTTGAGGATGCTTCTACTAGGACTTGTTGAACGGCCCACGAGAAACATAGATGAGGAAAGCAGGTTAGCTTGCAAAAGGAAGCCTAAGTTTTCTGACCCCTCAAAATCTTCCTGTGGTTTGTAAGTCTTCCCATGGAGGACATCTTGTGCAATTGCCCATCTGGGCTTCCTCATGCCATCTAAAGGTAGAACCAGCCCTGGAGTTCCACCACTTGAGGCTTTCTCGTCAACCCCTCTCACCATGACAGCATAGTAAAATCACGAAAGAGATGTCCCTCTTGATTTAGTGCAAAATATTCCCGTCTCTTGACAGTATGTATCTTTGAGACAAACACGCATGGTTTGATTTCCTGATGTTCTCTTCTTCTGAACCACTCTGAGATAATACTAGTCTTGAAAAAGAAAAAACTAAAAGAGACTCCCTACACGCCCTTTCAGCATGCCTTGTCATTCCTGCACAAAGCATAACACTCAGAAAAGTGGGTCTGTGTGTGTGTTTCTGTTTTGGCTGCCAAACCCACGGTGCCACCCTTTGGGAGCTGCTCTGCAGAACGTTCTAACCTAGGAGAGCTACCACTTTCTGAAACCTGGTGCCGTTCAGCGATTATTGCACGTAATTATTTTCTTAAAAGACCACAAAACGCAACATCCGACAAACCACACTAATTCCCAGGCATCCCTATGGCACTTGCATTGTTCTGCATACTTTTTTTTTTTTTGAGAAGCTTGATAAGAAGGAGAAAGGAGAGATCAAAGAAACTCTGCAAACACTTAGGAAGCCCCCCGAGTTATATTTCTGATTCTCTCCGGTAGGACCTTTGATCAAGAGGTCCTACAGAAGTTGGCAGCCTGTCAAATTCAGGCTGGTCAACCGAGCACGGATTGTCCAAACCTCTGCAGTCTTCATCTTCCTCCTCTACCTCCTCCTCCTCCTCCTCCTCTTCCTCCTCATCGCGGCTCATAAGGGCAAGCTCATTCTCGTAACAGAAGGAATTGGTGCTCGGAAGCAGGAATTTGTTCTCCACCAAATCCTTGGCACTGCAACAGGGAGTCGACGGGACCTCATAAGTCTTGTGGAAGTGTGAATAGTCCACTTTGTATTGGTTTTTCTCCTCAAAGAGGACGGGTTCAAAACGGTGGCCCCAGAGGATCTCACTGGACAGGTACGAACTCCGAGCTTGGGTGGTCATCGCCGTGGCCTCCACCATGCCTTCCAGGATCACCACAATCTCAAAATCGTCCATCTCCATTTCTTGCCGACTGATCCCAAAGAGGGGGCTCTCCTCGTTGATCTCGTGAAGGATCGTCAAGGGAGAGACCAGAAAAAGACGGTCCAAGCCTTTGTCAAACCCAACATCTATGTCAATCTGGTCAAGGGGGATGTATTCCCCCTCCTCGGTGATCCTGGGCTTCAGGAGCTGGGCTCGGACGTGAGCCTCAACAATGTGACTTTTGCGAAGGTTGCCCACTCTCCACATCAAGTAAAGCTTGCCGTCCCTCATGGCCACCACGGCATGGTGGCTGAAGAGCAACGTTTCCGCTCTCTTCTTCGGCCTGGCCATTTTGGCCATGATGGCGCCAATCATGAAGGAGTCAATGATGCACCCTACAATAGACTGAAGGACCACCATGAAGACGGCCAGGGGACACTCCTCGGTCACGCAACGGAACCCATAACCGATGGTCGTCTGAGTCTCAATGGAGAAGAGGAACGCAGCCACAAAGCCGTTCACCTGCAGGAGGCAAGGGGTAAAGGTCTCGTCCTTAGTGGGCTTCTCAATGTCCCCGTGGACCAGGGCAATCAGCCAAAAGATGAGGCCAAACAATAACCAGGACACCAGGAAAGCAAGGGAGAAGAGCAGCAACATGTATCTCCAACGGATGTCCACGCAGGTGGTGAACATGTCGGCGATGTATCTCTGAGGTTTATCATCCATGTGGGTGAATTCGACATTACATTGGCCGTTCTTCTTCACGAATCGATTCCGGCATTTCCTCCGAGTGTGGATCTTACCGTTGCCAAAGCCATTCACTCCGGGCATGGTGGTCAAGATCAAGCCGTCTTCCTCAGAAGACACAATGCTGTAAGAGTTGAGTCTGCCTGTACTCATCCCTGAGTTAGCCGGTTGTAACTCTGGACGTCTTTCGGGGTCTCGCTTTGCTGCTAGAGAAAAGGAAGGAGACCCCCAGCTTTACGTGTAAACAGGCAGGTAGATCCAAGCAGAGTCTCTGCAACAAAACAGCAACAAAAAAGTTGGATTATTGCAGGTAGTCCTCGATTTACAACTGTTCATTTAGTGACTGTTTAAAATTACAGTGGCAACAAAAAAAGGGACCGTTTTTCTCACTTACGACCATTGCGGCAACCCCCCTCCCATGATCACGTGATGAGAATTCAGCTGTTTGGCAACTGACTCGTATTTATGACAGTTCCAGTGTCCTCTTTTACAACCTTCTGACCAGCAAAGTCAATGGGGAGGCCAGATTCACTCCACAACCGTGTCACTAACTTCACAACCGCAGCGATTCCCTTAACAATTGTGGCAAGAAAGGTCGCAAAACGGAGCAAAACTCGGTTAACAAATGTCTCGCCGAGCATCAGAAATTTGGGGCTCAACTGTGGTCATACGTTGAGGACCACCTTTATCTCACAAAGCAGCTTTGGATAGTCTTGCTATTCTTGGCAAGTCTGGTTTTGTGGGGCACGTTAAGAAAAAAACAGTTATCCCACTAACACAACTATCATACATCTAACTCTGGCTGTGTCTTCCTCCACAAAAGTTAGAGCGATTCACTCTTATCATTCAGGAAATAATTCCACATTTTTCCCCTCCTTATGTCGTCTTCCTGAATCCTGGTAGACCTCGTTTAGAAACTGCCTGTTTAGTGACCATTCATAGTGATGGCAGTGATGAGAAATTCAATTTGTGACCAGTTCCCACATTGATAACATTCACAAGCCTTTAAAGCAAAGTTGAAGTCAGATCGTGAGCACCGTTGTGGTTTCATTTAGCAACCGCTTTGAATAAGGACCAAATGGCCGGTCCCAATTGTGGTTGCTAAATGAGGACTCCATGTATACTCACCTCCTCAACTTCCAGACTCCAAATCGTCCACAACTGGAGATGGTGGACAGCGTTCACACCAGCTCTTATAATGGATTCGAAAGCCGAGCACAGCGTGTTAACACAGCCAGGGTGTGACACATTACACACTCAGTATTAAATGTAGGACAGGGTGGAAGATTGCTTTTCCTTTAATTGATGGGGCTTCTCAGTGTGAATAAGTGAACAGACACTAGATTTTGGCAGCTCATCAAAGGCCTGGCTTTTGTCTTGATGCCTACTGTCAGCAGTCGCCACATCCAAGTTGACAGTTAGAACAATTAATCAATGGAACAACCTGGGGATGCTGCAATGGTCGTAACTGTGAAAAATGGTCCTAAGTCACTTTTTGGGATCCCGTTCTAACTTCAAATGGTCACTAAACGAATTGTCGTAAGTTGAGGACTACTTGTATAAAATGTGCTTTTTAACCACCGCTGATGGACACCCCCACAAGAAACCAGATAGAACAAAGGCAAACCGCCACCCTTTAGACCTAAACAAGCTTCCTTAAATTAAAATACATCTCTTCCCCCCCCTGGTTTTTTTTGCCCAGTCATTTCTGCTTTTGTGGCATCACAGCTGGCACCAACCTCTGGAGGAAGGGGAAACAAAATAGAGAGAAAAAGCTGAAATTGACCAACGGGTCTATCACGAGTGGGCAACCCGAATGTTTTGCAAGCCGGGAGCTATTCCCTAGCTTTTCGAGCAGCTGACCGGAGGCTAAATCTGATTTTGCTGAGTTTACATTTTAATTAACATTAAATTACATCCAGTCAACCTGATTATCTCCATCTATTTAAAAACCCTCGGCCTTCTGTCACCTTAAAAATGACAAGCCGGCAGTGGCTTTCGGGGTGTGTGTGTATGTGTCTGTTGTGGCTGTGGGATTCAGGCTGGTGGATTTTTTGCTCTCCCCGGGGTGGGGAGGGGGGTGGAGGGGTCTCAAGATTGCTCCCCCTCCTCACATTAGCGGATGTCTTCAAAGCAGGCAGTAAAAAGTAGGCCACAGGGCTACCCTTAGCACTCAAGCCTTGTTCATTCCACCCCAAAAAAGAAGGATATTCCCCAGAGGCTTCATTAAAAATTCTTTTTCCCCCAACAGAAAATGCTTTTTTGTTTGTTTTGTTTTGTTTTGTTTTGTTTTGCCTAACTGTGTTTGTTTTTTAAATGGAGCAAATCAGGATTCTTGAACAAAAGCTGGCCTTTAGCACCCTGCTGAGAAATGGAGACAGGAGAAGGTCCGGTTTTTAAGGAGGGTCTTTCAAATGGTTGAGCCTGGAGGCTCTCCATTAGTCAGCCTGGGTGAAAAAGGAGAAGGGGGTAAAATCCACTTTGGCTCAAGGTCCATGTGGTTGCTTTGGCAGTGACATGGAAGTTGTAGACGTCCCCGTTGTTATTTTATTCTGCTTTTTTAAGGCATTTGGGTCAACTCAAGAGGTGGGCATGCTTAATATTTCTTCCCCGTCCTGTTTTCCCCCACAATCACCCTGCGAGGTGGGTTGGGTTGGGAGAGGGATTGGCCCAAAGTCCCCTGGCCGGCTTGCATGCCTAAAGCAGGACTAGAACTCCCTGTCTCCTGGTGATTGACACAAAGTCACCTATCTGGCTTTCATGGCTAAGGTGGGACTAGAACTCACCATCTCCCGGTGATTGGCCCAAAGTTCACCCATTTGGTTTTAATGGCTAAGATGGGACTAGAACTCACCGTTTCCTGGTGATTGGCCCAAAGTTACCCAGCTGGCTTTGATGCCTAAGGTGCGACTAGAATTCACCCTCTCCTGGTCATTGACACAAAGTCACCCAGCTGGCTTTCATGCCTAAAGCGGGACTAGAACTCACCACATCTACTCATTTCTCAGCCAGCACCTTCACCACTACACTACACTGGGGTCCCCATTATTGGCCAATGGCTTCTTCCCGGAGCATTTCTGGACTTCCCTATCCAGGTTACGTTGCTGGGATTTCCTGATGGCGACCCATCCCTGCCGGAACGGAAAACGTCTCTTTTTGAGACCAGCTCTTCCCTTCCTTCCATCCCACACCCTGACTCCACTTTTCCTCCAGCGTAGACAAAGTCCCAAGAGGTGACTCACAAACTCTTCTCCATGGGAAGGCCCTCTGCCTGTGACAACTGTGTGCCCCTTCGACGACTGGGCTGGATTCACGCTCTCATCGGCACTTTTTGAACTGTACAAATTGTTTATTCTAATGCTCGCTTTTTATTCTTTTCCCCCCCCACCCCATTGGCTTCTTTGCACCAATGGTTCTCCCATTTCCCCGTTAGGGTCCCCTGAAAAATGCATAAATAGCCAATAGATGGAAGCTTGTAAAGATCTTCCACCACCACCACCCCAAAAAAAAATATTGAAACAATTCCTAGAAAACCATTGATCGTTGGACTGCTGTGCCTTGAAATCTGATCGGTTCTAATCCTGAAGCCTAATTTGATGGCTTCCTCTGCTAGCAGGAGCTGGGCAACTGGCTCCCTTCCTCCCTCTTCCCCAAAACTCTGGATCTGGTTTAATCGATCCCCCGCAAGAGAGAAATAAATAAAATAAAAATCTTTAGCACAAAGCACCTTCGATAGACAAGCTCCCCCATCAAGAACAAAAAAAATAATAATTTGGTCGGAAAACGAAACAGAAGGAAGACAAAGTGCCAGGGACACCGTCACCCCACTGCATTCAGGAGTCTAAAACGGGTGGTGGGGGTTGCAGGAGATGCTTAAGGGAGGGGGAGGCAGAGATCATAATTGCAAGGTTTCAGGGGAACAAGGCAGAGTCACCCCTCTTTTCTCGGATTGCCAAGCAGGAAGGGGCAGAGCTTGAAAGACAGCGCTTGAAAGGGCCGATCTGCTGCGGAGTTTGCAGCACGTTTTCTGGGAGGAGATGACATTCTTGAGGCTGGCAGCACCGGGTAGTAGTGCATTGTGGAGGGCTTTCAGGGTTGTGTGTCAGTGGGACAGGATGCACAATGGGGACAACAAACCCTCAGGACTCAGCGGTCTTCATTAAGACTGCCTTTGTTGAGAACAACTCAACAGGTTCCCAACGGGGGAACCAAGCAACCTCGGAAGATTTCCAAAAAGAGAGAAGCTCAGAAGCTCAGGAGAATAGAATAGAATAGAATTCAGAACGGAACAGAACAGAACAGAACAGAACAGAACAGAACAGAATATAATAGAATAGAATAGACAGATTGTAGAATAGAATAGAATAGAATAGAATAGAATAGAATAGAATAGAATAGAATAGAATAGAATTCAGAATGGAATAGAATTCAGAATAGAATAGAATAGAATTCAGAATAGAATAGAATTCAGAACAGAACAGAATAGAATTCAGAATAGAATAGAATAGAATTCAGAATAGAATAGAATAGAATAGAATTCAGAACAGAACAGAATAGAATTCAGAACAGAACAGAACAGAATAGAATAGAATAGAATAGAATAGAATAGAATAGAATAGAATAGAATAGAATAGAATAGACAGATTGTAGAATGGAATGGAATGGAATGGAATAGAATAGAATAGAATTCAGAATAGAATAGAATTCAGAACAGAACAGAATAGAACAGAACAGAACAGAACAGAACAACAGAACAGAATAGAATTCAGAACAGAACAGAATAGAATTCAGAATAGAATAGAACAGAACAGAATAGAATAGAATAGAATAGAATAGAATAGAATAGAATAGAATAGAATAGAATAGAATAGAATGGACGGCCATTTGTCTGAAGTGGTCTAGGGTTTCCTGCCTGAGCAGGGGGTTGGACTAGAAGACCTCCAAGGTCCCATCCAACTCTGTTATTCTGTTACATTGAAAGGGGTCTGCCCTGCAAAGCTCCTTTGCCGCCAACTCATGCTTTTACTCCTGATCTACAGACCCTCCAGAGGTGTAGGAGAAACTGAAATGTTTGGAACCAATTACTCGGTCTGCCGTTCCGGGCCCCCCAAAATAGCTCAGATGCCTTTCTCTCTTTAGTTTATCCTCCAGAGCGTTTCCTTCCTGCTGCAT